TTTGCCAAAAAAAAAAAAAAAAAAAAATCTTTTACGATATGTAATTTGTTTTCTTTCTTGGAAACAAGTCCTATCGGAGGAACGTCATATTTATACATTATAATCAAGACCTCGTATGTGATAGGATGAAATAGAGGAAAGAAGAAGCCAGTTTTCTTCAAATTTTTGGATTTTTGCTTGTTCTTTCTTTCTCCTCATAGTAGTACTGTAAGTGTACAGTTAACAAAGATTTGCTTTGGATTGTGAGGATTAGGATTCACACTTTTTATGTGTGTGTCTCTATATATGCACACGTAAAACCAAGTTTGTGCTTAATTTCGGAGGGGCGATCAAGATCATGAAGTCAAGTTCTTGGTACCATCACGAAGGTCACAAAGATTACTTTCACATGCCATTGCCAAAATCCAAAATCATTAACTAGAACGCGAGCTGTACTCTTCTAAATTTGAGTACATAATCGTCCGTCTCGACTTTTATAATAACGTTATCATTTTTCGTCCCACTTTTCGGTACGTCTATTCTAGTCGAAAGAATGTTTCCAAAACCAGTTGCGATGTACTCTTTGAGATATCATTTTTGTTTTCTCGAATTACTAAACAATCACATGAACAAGACAAACACATTGTTCAAAGATAGTCCTTTAACATATCTTTCACCTTATACATAATAATCCTTTAAAGATGATAATTATGGGATGTAAAATATTTAAAGTATACCTAAAATTATGATGAATTTTTCATATACTAATGGATAATTGGTTCAATTTGGTTCTCTTCAAAATCGAATCGAAACAAATTGGGCCCAGAATTCAGAGTGAGAACTGCTTGCCATATTTACTCTTCAAGGAGTGAACTCATTACAATGCATGATATGCGAGGAAGAGTAATTTTATCATCCCTGATTACAATTGAAGTGCAATAAATGAAGAGAAAAATTAGAGAAGGGACTAAAAATTTTTTTCATCTCTGATTTGTGTTATGTTTAATGCCTCAAAATTGGGTTAAAATCTTGGAAGATCACATTTGGCTTGAATTTGGAAAGAAATCAAATTGCATCAAAGATTTTTTCCTTGTACGCGATTTAACCTAATTCTCGTATATTTTCTTACATTTTAGGATTCTATTAGGGTTATGGATGTGACCTATAAATTAAAGGCTCCTCTGTCAGTTTTAAAGAAGGTTTTTTGCTGTTCAATTGTAATCTCTCCATATTGTCGAGTTTAATAAAATTCGTCGTTCTTCTGCTTAGTTTCTCTTTTTCTACTTTACTTTAATCTTGTTTTCATGTTGCGATCTTGAATATTTCATAATTGCCATTAATCTCAATCTTGCTTCGCCTTTGGGATCAACAAGTAGTATTAGAGCACAGGTTACAAATTCTTCATGATTTAGTTGAGATTTTTCAAGGATGAATTCGTTGAAGTATGAAATTTCGTTGCTGGATTGCAATCCAAGATTTTTACTGTAACAAGTAAAGGTGGGTGCTGTGTTAATGCAAATGAATCTTGACGATACTTAGCTGGGTTTTGAAAGGATGCCAGCAAATTTGTTTATGGAGGAGAAACAACGGAGGGATCGAAAGGCTTTAGCATAGATTCATCTTCACTTATCTAACAATATTCTGTAGGATGTCGTGAAGGAGAAGACAGCGCCTGCTTTGTGGCTCAAGTTGGAGCAGTTGTGCATGACAAAGAGTCTGACAAGCAAACTGACTCTAAAGTAGAAGCTGTATTTCCATCGCATGGCGGAAGGAAGGTCATTGCAAGACCATCTTATTGTGTTCAAG